AAGCCAGCTTATATCAAAGATCAGTTCTTCATTTAAAACTGTCGTATGGACACAATAACATTTCATAATTGTATATCAAAAACAAAAAGGTAGGTCTCTCTTTCCCTTGGGGCAAATCAAAAATACCTTATGATTTTAATTTAGTAAGTGAGCTATGCCCAGGCGAACTTAAACAAAATAAATAGAAAAAAAATAAAAATATCAGAAACGCAATGAAATCTACTTTTTACTAAATATATCCTTGACTCGAGATAGCAGATTTTTTATATGTAATGCAGTGTTCAAACTTCTTTTGTTGCATATCTGATTTTAAGTAAAGAATTTTGCTCATGCAGATATATGTAAAACGTATTTAAAGATATTACATTAACTAAATTCTTACCTGTGAAAGATAAGATAACTAAATCAGACATACCTGCAACTGCATAAAAATAATATTCAGGCTTCCAGTAATCGTCTACCTCTGAAAAAAGACCATATCTACAATTTCTTTTTCATAAGATTAAACAAAATACAATTGGAAATTACAGGCAACTTACTTCTTCAATTAGAAACTGTCCTTCATGTGGGACTTCCGTAATGGGCAAAGTAACATTTACAAAATAGGTTGGTTATATACCTTAAAGGTTACCTGTTCGCAAAATTTAGTTTTCTGTATGTTTTACGAGAATTAAAACAAGGGCTTTTTTTAATTAGGAAACTCTATAATTACATTCTTCTTTGAATTCATATACATGTAATAGTTATCTTTTTATTATATATAATTACATTTTCGTCTTGTTTGTCTGTCTATTTAATTCGCATTTTAAAGTTGCTTTTTTGTTTATTGATATTTTGTTGCAACATTTTGCGCGGCTTGAGACACCGTAATTTGTCATTCTTCATCTAAACGGAAATGCAATGCTCGGAACAATGCCAACGTTCATTCTTGTAAAAATCACGATGCTTTATTTAAAACGCTGCAATAGTTGGTATGTATGTCTATTTGCTTAATACGATAATTTTATATCAACATTTAAGTATAATATGTTTTATTTTAGAGGTAAATATAAATATTTGGTTTGGTGATAAGATGTAATGTGTGTGTACGTTATTGATATTTTAATATAATTATCTTTGTATTTAATGTAGTCATTTTTTTTATTTTATTTTGTCTAGAGAATCGTTTCCTGATTTCAAATAAACGCATTCTCACTAAAACACTGGCGCCGAATGTGTTTATCTCTGTTCAACATTATGAAAAATATTTTTCTACTGATCATTGATTGAAACATATACTAACATTAAACTTAATGATTTCAGAAGAAAGGTATTGTTTCTACTGAAAATGTTTGATATGTATACATATATATATATATATATATATATATATATATATATATATATATATAATATATATATATATAATATATATATATATATATATATATATATATATATATATATATATATATATATATATATATATAAATTTGTTACCTTACCCCACCCATTTTAAACACTTGTTTAACTTTTGTCCCATTTAAGAGCCTTATTCAAAATATCCCTTTAACTTTACAAAAAAATGTGGGGCTGTTTTCAAAGTTTACCTACATTTTTCTATAAATATATTGGTTGATCTTGCCAAATATAAAATACTTTAACCACGTAGTTTTTATTTTATTAGACTTTGAAAATATCAGGTACCATCTTTAGCAAATAAATATCAAATATATATAATTAAAATCAAACACTGTTTTTTCTTTCTAAGAGGGGTCTGAGAGATACATTGAAAAAACTGAAAATGAAAGAAAAAAATATTGCCACATCTGGGGTTTGAACCTACGTCAATCAGTCTCAATACAGTTGACAGTAGTTCTAGCCTATTTGGATATTCAGCTGAATTAATGCATAAGGGGGTCTAACCTTCAATGTCCATTATGCCTCAGAGATGCATTTATTTTAATTCTTTTCAAGCTTTGTTTTGGTGTACTTTCATAGTATCTAAAAGTTATTCATTGGCCAATTACTTGAATATTCTTTTTATCTGATTTTTTCATCAATAGGTACAATAAAGGTGAATTTCTTTTTTGTATCGAAGTAAAGAAAAACAACATTGTTTTTAATAAACATAAAATTATATATTTCATATTAATCATTACTTCCTTTGAGCATTTAACATTCTTTCAAAACATATTAAATTTTATGATAGCCGTTCCTAATATTTTTTTTAAAAAATCGAAACATAATATGACTTTAAGACATCTGTCACCAATACTGACAACGACTAGTTATTGTTTCCAGAAATAACTTTTTTTCAGGAACAAGACAAGAACATAAATTCAGATATCATTAAAGAAAACAGATCATTTACGTTCAAGAAAGTGATGTGTTTTAAAGTCTTATTTTCCTAATGCATACCTAAAAAAGAGGACCATGATGGCCCTAATATCGCTCACATGATTGTTGAGACTCTAATATTGTTAGCAATGAATGAAGGCAGATTCAATGCTAGCAAGTCAAACTGATATCATTTCTTTCATATATACACCCATCATGCCTAATTTCCAGGATATTTGGAATGAAACAGTAGCCTCTAAAGTGTCAATTATGTTTTCCATATTTTGACTGTATGGCCGATTTTTTTATCCTAAGGTGACCCATATGTAAACTAGAAATCATCTAAACAACCATCATGACTAATTTTCAGGTTCTCTGGACTAAAACAGTAGCATCTAAAATGTTTACAAAGTTTTTTTCATATTTGGACTGTATGATCTACATTTTTACACCAATGAGCAATGTACAAACTTAGTCTAGAAGTCATCTTAACAACATTTCTGACCATTTACCAGGATATCTGGACCAAAACAATAACCTCTAGAGTGTAAACTAGGTTTCTTCACATTTGAGCTGTTGGATAGTTTTTTTCTTGCCCAAGACGACTCATATCATAACTTGCCATAGAAATCATCAAATCAACATTTCTGACCGATTTCCAGGATACTTTCCAAAACATTAGCCTCTAGGGCGTTAACAAAGTTTTTCTATTTTTTGGCTATGTGACCTAGTTTTTGACCGCAGGTGACCTATATTTATACTTGAGCTAGAAATCATTAAAAGAACCTTTCTGGCCAATTTCCAGGTCATATGGGCAGTAACAATATCCACTAGAGTGAAAAAAATGTTTTCCATAATTTGGCTGTGTTACATTGCTTTTTAACCTGAGATGGCCCATATTAGAAAATAACATAAGCCTCTAGAGAATAAATTTTTCATTTTTGGGCTGTGCGACCTAATTTTGATACCAGATTACGTATATTCGAGTTCGATTTTTAAATAATCAAAACGATTTTTCTGGCCAAAGTCCTGGATATTTGGACCAAAACAGAAGCGTTTCTATATCTTTAAATGTTGTGGCCTAATTTCTCAGCAAAGATGGCTAATGTTAGAACTTGTCCGAGCAATAACTTGGACAAACATCCTGAAAAGTTTTATCACAATTAAGTTAATGCAACCACTAGTGTGTTAACGAACAACATCTTAACGTACGACAGATAACCGTTATTTAACGATCCTAAAAGCCTATCCGACTCAGGTGTTCAAAAACGCCAAAGGAGGTCACTTCATCAAAATCTAGGTAAGCTGATAACAAAGCTCAATTTACATCTAAACCTCTGGACATGGTCCAAATTTTATATGTGTGGATAAGAAAGTAAGTCACTTTGTCAAAATTTAGATCAGATTATATTACAGAACAACTTTTGCTGAGAACCTATATATGATATTATATACCACTTTTTAAAGCTCAAAGCCTTGTGCTTTCAGACAAAAAAAAATCTAAATTTTAAACTTTATGTTCATAATCAAATTCAAGTCAATGAAACTCCGAGGCTCTGCCTATTTTGACCCCAGTGTTATAATTTCACCAATCTCGGTAGAGGTCAACTACACACTGTTTCATGCCAAATATCTAACCTCTAACCTACCGGTTTGTCATTTCAGAGAAGAAGATTCTTATACATATAATGAAAACCTATGACCCCCCGGGTTTGGGCCAATTTTGACACTGGAGGAAAACTTTGGACAACTTTGATAGAGGATCTATAGATGATATTAAACACCAAGTATCTAAGCTTTTACCATTGTACCTTCAGACCAGAAGTTTTTACCATATGTAAAAAGTAAAAATCAATGACCCATGGGGCGAGGCAAATTTTGACCCCAGGCCTGTTATTTGAACAAGTCACGTTTTATTAGATGATGTTAAACACATAAAACCTTTCACTATTAGAGAAGAAGATTTTGAAGGATTCACGAAAATTTCATGAACTTTAAACAGTGATATCTGAGAAGAAGTCGTTCGTAAAAAGTTGACGGATGATGGACGCCGGACAAATTGTAATCACAAAAGCTCACTTAGAGCACGTTGCGGTCAGGTGACCTAAAACAATTTCAATACTTATTCAAAGCTGGAATGGGAATACAAATTTCTTGTATAACTTGTTTGTTTTGGAGCAAGTTTATCATGTTTGACACTAACAAACAAACATATCACACAGAAATGGTTATTAAAATCTCGTCAGAAGTACATAAAGAACCAGTGTGTTCAAGTTAACAGATTCGTTGGTGTACAGATCAAAATATTGCTTATTGAAAGTCTGGATATCTATCGCTACAGATTTTGAAGTTTAATAACTATAAAAATACGAGGGGTGATCCAAAAGTTCGTGGACACCCTGCATAAAACAAAAGTAATAAAGGAAATCACATGCAATTTTAATATCTTATCAAGTGAGCATATGTTGACAAATTCTCCAAATATTGTAAAGATTGTACAAGAATTAACAATTTTGCATTGGTTTATAAACATACACATGACAAAACGCGGCGCAGCTCACGACGTCACAAACGACGCTATGCTATCATAGGAAGCAATCTACGTTACCCTTTTGCCTTATAACTTTTCAAAGTATTCCCCTTTAACCCGCATACATTTTTCATGGCGGCGGACCAAGTCTCTAAATGTACTCGCATACCATGACTGGATGAATGATGACAGTATGCATTGGGTGGCTCCTCACAACGCTCCTCTCGTCCAGATTGTCAAAACGTTTCCCTCTCAACTCTTTCTTCAACCTGGGACACAAGGCGAAGTCACACGGGGAAAGATCAAGCGAATATGGTGGATGACTGAGTACATCTGCTCCAAGCTGGATTTCAATGATCAGCTGTGTATCCCGGGCACGGTGAGTAGGTGCATTGTCTTGGTGAAGTTATAAATATTCAATAGATTCGGGTCTCTTTTTCTCAATGCGTGCATCAAATATCGGCGGATGACCTGTGGACAAAATGAAGATAATCTAGTTGTATTATATTGTAATGTTACAATCATTAATTAAACATTATGTAATCATTTATTTATTCATAGATGCTTTTTATTTATTAATAAAAATAGTTATTCTGTAGATTCAAAATAAATATTGCAGTAGGCTGCATTGACTGTCTGTCCAGCTGGGACGGCATGACAGAGGATTGGCCCTTTGGTGTCTTTAAACACAATAAACAGGTGTTAAGCTGCTGATCGGGATAACGTGCCTTCTTCGGTGGAGACGATGATTTCTTTTTCTATTGCATAGATTGTTGTTTTGATTCAGGATCAAAGAAAAATAGCAATGTCTCGTAAACAGTGACAATGCTATCTAAAACTTTTTAACACTCTTTCTGAAAACGTTGCAAGAAGTTTTTGACGCCTGAACTCGTTTTTGTTTTTCATCCGCTGACAGCAGTCGAGGGACCCATCGAGCACTCAAACGACGCATTTCTATCAATTCAGTAACAATTCTCTGAACAGTTCAATACGATAAATTTAAAAAATCACTGATCTGCCTTAAACTTATCCGTCTGTCTTCATTAATCTTCACACGCACACTTTCAACAGTTTCTTTGTCTCTTACCTCGACAGGTCGACCAGTCCGCGAATCATCCCAAACACTTTCCCTTCCATCCGAAAATCGGCGTTGCCACTTATAAACTAGAGAACGACACACTGACGGTTTATTTGTCACACTTCCGATCATTGTTTTTGTCTCGCCAGGCGTCTTTCCAAGATTTACACATAACTGTATAACTGTCCGAAGTTTTGCTGGATCCGTGACGTCAAGTTTTCATAAAGCTGATTTTAGCAACTGTTCTTTAAAGCACAAGCGTAAAATAACCGCAACTTCAAAATGTCTTCTGATACTGACTGAATGGCGTTATACACATCAAAACAATGTTATTATAACGTTTCCCGCAATTTTCTTTGTTTGCACAGGCTTTACATGTGTTTATATGAGATGAAATCTTCCCAGAGAAAAAGTAAGCTGCGCCGCGATTTTGATACTAAATGTGTTGATGTCATATATAGATAAAAAATGCAATTGGTGTTTTAAAATTTAGTCAATTTATTAGAAAGGCATTGATTAATAAGGTGCAAAGAGTTCACCTCGGTAGGACGTCACGTTATGGAGACACGAATTTTTGGATCACCCCTCGTACATGCAATTATGCTTCCACATAATGTGCCTTAAATCGTTTGTTCATATTGGATTGTCATTAGGATAAGTCTTTAAAAAAAACAAAATCCATGAACAATGCTTTTGAAGTAAAGTAAATTCCAAGTACATTTGTATATCTAAAACTATATACATTTTTAAAAATTGATGATCTAGATTGTTCTGTATTTTACCCTCGCCACTTTTATTTTATAATCATACCTTTGCTTTCTTCGTCTGGGTTTCTAGCGGACGTTGATGGCTCAGTTGAGGAAAAAGTGAACGCTGATGTTAGATCTTCCCTATTTGAACTTGTTGTGCCAGTTACATTTCTGAAAACGAAAATGCCCATGTTAACAGCTTTGAAAGACTAAACATATATTAATTGTTTCAATGTCACAATCATCTTGAATCTATAAAAGAAAATTTAAATGAAAAAATGATTCTAGTATTTCACTTACAATAGATTTCTGAAGCATGAAAGTGTGCTTCAATTTACATGGAGAGTTTTCAATTTCATGACAAAGTTGATTTTTTAATTGATTGCATGATTAGACTGTAATCATCATGTAATTGATTACGCTACCCAAATTAATTACTTTAATTGTAATTAATCAATTACAGCTTAAGTTCAGTCAGGAATTACGATTACAATTTGATTGACATTGATTACTTTCAGATTTAACAGGAAACTATTTCAATTCAAATGATGCCTGTATTTTACATGACACAGTTTAACTTTTGTTTTACAATTAAACAGTAAAAAATCCGCAATTAAAACCACCATTGGAGCTGGACCAAATTGAATATTCTTATCATTGCTTACATACTATATGGCCATGGTCTATTTTAGTCATTTTGTATGAATAAACAATATGTATCTTTACCTACAAATAAAATATAAAAGACACTGTCTTGACACATGATCTATGATGTTAGAAATCATTCTCCAAATGTTTTCAATTACCACTTTATCATACAGTGTTTTCCCTTTACATATAACTATTTTCCTAAATAAATTTTTCTCTGATAAAATTCTGCAAATCTACTCTCCCCTTATTATGCTTATTTTTCATCAACTGCACCAAAAATGGCTTTACATATTTTCAATTTGTTTTGAAGGTCATAATATAAAACCTGCAGAAACAAAATAAGTATGCTATGATATCCAATCTGATGAGAGAAAAACATATTTTTGAAGATATTTAACATTAATTTCTTTTCAGTCTAATTTCAATATCAATTATTATATGATGTACATAAATCAAATGGAATTTAATTCTTCAAAAAAAATGTGCTGAAAGCACCATTAAACCACTCTAAAATTTACCTAGTCTCACACCTTATTTAATAGAAAAACACGATAATAACAGTTTGTCACATATTGTGACATCAAGTGTCATGCCAAAGAGCATTCGAACAGATCATAATAGACCTACGTAGGTGTTGACTGTCATATCAGTGAACTCAATAGTTGGGTCAAGTTAAGAATAAAACAAAAATTTTGACTGAATCTGCCAATCTGGTGGTCTTAAAAGTGGATAAGCGGTTGGTCTTAACTCCGGATCATGTAACGATTGGCATAAAGAACCTTTCAAAAAATGATCTTTATAGCAGGGTGGCCTTAATTCTGGAATTATCTTAAGTAGGGATTATACTGTACATTAAATGTAATAAATTATCAATTAATTACATTCTTAAAGTAATTGTTATCAAATTGATTACAGAGGCAGGTAAGTAATCATTCTTAATCAATTACAATAAAATTTGAAGGCAATTGTTATAAAATCAATTACTGATCAAAGTAATCATCCCCAGGTCTGGTCCATGGTAGAGTTTTATACGTAGACTTAATACTCAAACAGTTTATTCATATTTTTAAAAGCTGTTTGATAACATTACTTGTATCTATATACACATATGCATGAATACATTATAAAAACTTTCAACATGTACTTAATATAAAGCAAAAAAAATAAACACAACAGATTTTGCAATCTGATTTTACAGAATAAAAAATAGTTTCAATCAACAGGATACACATGCTTAATTACCGGTATGACAATACAATATCATGGTTTGCGAATGACCAAGCTATGTGAGACGTGAGGTATTTTGCACTTGCATTTTGTTAGTGATATACCATGTCGGGCGCGCTCATTCAACCTAGCTTTCTCAAGCAACATTTAACTTGTTGTTTAAAAATGCAAATTTATGTCGTCATTAAATAAAAACAGCAATTAAGTGAAATTATATCAAAAGGAGAGTCTAATTAATGAATTAGCACAAGGAAGTTCTTGCAAGAACGCCTTGTGTCTGTTATCAGACGAAGTAATAAAACATTCTGAAAAAGTGTCTCTGGGACAATTTATTCGGCTAACAGATGGTATGCAAGGTTGCAAGTAGACGGACTCTGAAAATGAGAAAATATTGGCCTCTTTGAGGACTATATCCGACTGATTTTGTAACTTTTTAACCAACGAAAGGTAATGAATGGTCAAGCATAAACATTGCACTAGACAACAGTACATAGTAAAAAAATCAAGATAGGTGAATATATCACAAAAAAAACAAGAAATTTTGTTAAATTGATATCCACATTCAAATGATATAAATCACTTCATTGAAGGTTTTTAGTATTATGTTCCAGAATAACCGCAATAACTTAATCTATAAGGTAAGATATAAAGATACTGTTTTTATGCACTGTTTCACTCCTTAATAACATCATAATGTTGATACTTTTAGATTTTTGGCCCAAACAAATCGAACAGAAAAAATGCAAAGTAGGATAGGTCTTAAATAATTCAAATGAGAATTATAGCTCTTTCACAATGTAATTTTATTTTTCTTAATGAGATCTATCAATATATAAAATATGATAAACAAGTCCACAAGGAAATGAACGCAACTCCCTCACAATCCAGCAACAAGAGCCAAAAGTTTCAAACTGCGATCTTCAACATTTGATCCGAAAAAAACATGATTGTGTTTTAGAAAAAAAATACTATGCCGCCGCATTAACACAATATTAATATATGGAGCAGAAATAGATATTTTTCTATACAATTGAACTTTGTCATAATACAGAGCTGTCTATTGAATTTGAGAGGGTCAATGTCATATTTCAGCATTTCAAATAAAAGACAATGTGTCTGATGTTCGGATACAAATGCTGTAGAATAATAGCTAATTCAAAATAAAAGTATTCATACTTATTTAAAATTTGGGTATCAACTGTTTTACATAGCTGTATTAAACTTTGAAAAACAGCTACATTTATTTTCGATTAAGCATTATCTTTTTCTTAAAACATAAAACATTTATGATTTAAAATCATCATTATATACATACATGGTGTGAATAATAATATCCTTATTATTTGCCCAAATCAATTCATTAATATCCCTGCAAAACAAACATCACTCTTGTCTCAAATCATTTTATAAGATTCTCTTAAAGCAAACATCTCTCTTGCTAGACGTCATGACCTTTAGACAAACTTCAAGCTATTTAATCTTTCTTCAGAAAAGTTGATAGCATGTACACATGTACAAGAGGGCCATGATGGCCCTAATATCACTCACCTGAATATAACTCTCTTAATGACAAAGGACAAGTTATAATGTAAACTACAAAAAAAAACAGATAAAAAATTGAATCTCAAAGTTCCTATTTATATCTAAAATAGTGCCTGTGTAAAAGCATTACTGGTTGTTATCGCTAAGGAAAAACAAAAAAAAATCAAAAGAAATAACAGGTTGCTATACAAACTCAGTGGTTTCCTTAGTGGAGTCAGTGAATCCTAAGCATCCAATGGTATACTTATTTGTTGCTATGGAGTGTTTCATATGAAAATCACTGGTTGCTTTGTAAAAAGTCAATGTTAACAGTTGGTTTGGAAAAATTTTCAGTTTGCAATGTAAGTCAATGGCTCATATGAAGTCACTGGTAACTATGGAAAGCAAGCGGTTGCTATGGAAATCAGTCATAGCTATGAAAATTAAAGATTGCTATGAAAATGTATGGTTGCTATTGAAAGGCAATGGTTGATAAGAAAGTCAATAATTACTATGGAAAGTCATTGGTTGCTTTTTGAATTCACATGTTAGGAAAATCTATGTTCCCGCGAAATTGGCAAAATTTTACTTTAGGACTATAATTTGATAAAGAAGTTGAGGTACACAAAACTATCTTTCTTGTTGAATAGCATAAAATATAATCCTTGCAGTTTTCAAGAAGAATATTTTTTTAAGTATTTACTACAATGTATATAAGGGTGAGCCACGATCCCCTGAGAGGGGCCACATTTTACCCAAGGGCTAAAATTTGAGAAACTTATTCAAGTCTGCTAGATAATGTTTCATATCAAAAATAACTTAGCCTTAGCTCTAAAAGTTTTAGACAAGATTTTTAAAGGTTTTCACTAAAAACATATAAGAAAAATATGAATTCCCCAAGGCGGGGCAAATTTTCACCTAAGGGCAATAATTGGAACAATTTTTGTAGAGGTTCACCAGATAATGTCTGATACCAAATATACTAAAACAATTAAAGTATAATGTGAGATGATCATTTTTACTAAAATCACTGGCCCCGTGGGACAAGACCAGCTTTGACCCCAAATCACTAATTTAAAGAATGTAAATAGAAGTTCACAAAACAATGTTTGATGCTAAATATCTGAACTCTAGTCGTTGTAGTTTTGAAGAAAAGTGTTTTGAAAATTTTGTAGAGGCTCTATAGTACAACAGAAAGAAGATCCTTTTTGTTTATACTATATACATACGGAATATCAAATACCTCATGGGGTGGTGCAAAGTTTGACCTTGAACAAAACTTGGTAGACGCCCACTACAAAAGAAAAAACTTAAAGAATTTTCTTTTAAAAATTCTTTATTTCATACATGTAAGGAAATTTTTTGGGCCAATTTTGACCAAAAACTTCAATTTGAACAACTGTTGCTGAGGTCCACCAAACAATGTTTCGTACCAAATATATAATCTTAGGCATCTTTAGTATAAAAGAACAAGTTTTAAGTTGTTTTAGCATACCCCAGTGCTAAAATTTATTTGAACAATCTTTGTAGAGGTCCATCAGACAATGCCTTATTGCTCAAGGGCTCTAAGGTTGTTAGTTAGAAGAACATTTTTTTTAAATGCTTATAATTATTTTTGATGTCATCATTATTATATTACTATTATATACCAAACTTCTTAAGAACTTTTTTCATGCACATTGACACGTTCAAAAGTACTGTACAGTATAACTAAATAAATGATACAATTTTTATTTAAAAAATTAAAATATCAATATTGCTCAAGTCACAAA